ACAAACACTGCACCACTATACTGCCCGAGGAGTTTTATTTAATTGATTAACAATCTTGTTTACGTGAATAGTGCCATGCAGAAGTAATGATGTTTTACCTAATCCTGACTGACTTCTTTTTAATCAGCAATTACAGCCTGGTAAATAAGAGCTCTCAGAAAAACCACACACGCGGGGCATGCTTGATGGAGGGTTTTTATACAGAAGTGATTCCACAAATCCCAAAATCTCGTCTCTATCTATTATGTTCCTCTCCGTTTCCTATCTCCACTCCAATTTGTCTCAACAGCTCTTTTTCTTTCTCTCCAGCCTCCTTTCGTCTCACTTGTCTGCAAATGTTTTTAATTAGCTGACTGCGACCCTGATGACAGTGTGACGAGGAGAAAGAATGAGACTTTCTAATCGCTGTAATTAAACAACAGGCTGAACGAGGGAAGAGACCTTGACGCTCTCTATTCATACAGATGAAGAGACACAGAGAGAGGGAGAGAGAATAAATGGAATAGTGTTGGAAGGAAGAAGGAGGAAGAGTGCACATTTTTCAAGATAGTGGAAAGAAAAGTATGAAATAGGGGAAGTTTTTAAAGCGCGACGTTAGTTACAATATATGCAACAGGTCTATATATAGGTGGACTTAATTACTTAATGTTTTACCCATTTTTTCTTACCATATACATACATACAGTTTTATGCACAAGTTTTGGCACCCCTGATAATTATCATAATTGCAACTCATAGCCTGATGGCCTTAAAAGCAGCAATTTCATTTGTACATATTTTATACAACATTTTAGTTCTGACATAACATTTATTTACAGACCAACAGATGCAGTGCAAAGTAACAAAACAGGCAGGTGCAAAAATTGTCTTTTGTACAGCCATCTTTTGCTAAAATAACAGCCTGTAGATGCTTCTTATAGTCAATGATAAGTACCTGAAGTCTTGCTGAAGGCATTTTGTAATATTCTTCCTTGAAAAATTCTCCAGTTCAGTCAAGTTTGATGGTTGCCAAGCATGAACGGCCCTTTTCAAATCAATCATTAGATTTTCCATGGTGTTCAAGTTTGGGGACTGGGATGGCCATTCTAAAGCATTGTATCTTGTCTGCGCATGAATTCCTTGGTAGATCTGGAACTGTGCTTTGGGTCATTGTCCTGGTGAAACACAACTCTTCTGTAACTTCACCTTTTTGACTAATTCCTTAACATTGTTCTCAGAAATCAACTCTGACAAGGTTTCTAGTACCTGAGCTTGCCACACAACCCCACAGCATGATGGTCCCTCTACCATGTTTTACAGTTTTTTTTCCTTGAACGCTGTGTTGTTTTTTCGCATGTTATTGTGATCAAATAACTCAATCTTAGCTTAATGTCCACAGTATATTTTTCCAAAATTATTCAGGATTATCCAGATGAGCCTTTGCACACCTCAAATGACTCCTCTTGTTGGCAGAATGCAGAAAAGACTTCTTCTGCATCACCTTCCATTAAGCTGGTGGTCTGTGGTCTGTCTGTGACCATTCTAGCCATTCTTCACCTTTGATTTTTAGATATTTTTCTTGGTCTTGTTCCTGAGGCCTTCCATTTTCTTACTATATTTCTGACTGTGGAAATAGAGACTTTAACCCTCTTTGACAGCTTTTTGTATCCTTCTAATTCATGTTGGTGGGTTATCCTTGTTTAGGTCATTAGGAAGTTCTTTTGAGGTTCCCGTGTTGCTACTTTCAGGTTCAGAATAAGGAGAATCACAACTAGCAATCAGCTAGTCTTAAATATCCTTTTTCATGATTGGTTACACTTGTGTTAGGATTGTTGAGGTTCACCGAGTCACTCAAATCAATTTTGTGTTGTAATCAATCCGCATTAAGTGACTACAGGTTTTGAAATCCACACAAATGAAAAGGTGCCCAAACTTTTGCACAGCCTATTTTTCAGTTTCAATTCAATTTCACATGTCTCAATACCACTACACTACAGATTTCTGTCTAAAAAACGACTTGACTCTGAAACATGATTCTAGAAACTTAATGGTATAACGCTGTGGTTTTCTCTTATAAAGAAAGAGCACACTACTACACAACCACAGAGGGGTGGCCAAAGCCTTTGCATAAAACTGTGTAAGTAATTGTTGTTCCAAAATCAGGTTGACTATATGCCTGGATCATTGCTAAAATTTTATATATGTCAAAATAACTAACTAACTAACTAACTAACTAACTAACTAACTAACTAACTAACTAACTAACTAATCAGTAATAAGTAAATAAATGAAATAAATGAAAATAAATGTAATATGTTAGGTAACACTTTTTTTTTGATAGTCCAGTTGACTATTAGTAGACTGTCTGCTTAATATCTGCTAATACTGCTTCACATATTTAACTGACTAAAAGAAACTTTGCTACTGCATGTCAACTTACACTAACCCTAACCCCAACCTAACAGTTTACTTATAATCTATCGAGTAATTGGCATGTAGATGCAATGCAACTTAAATTCAACAAAGACCATCAAAATAAAGTGACCATATGTTGTTTTAAATGTTTTTTATTTTATTTTATTTTAGCTAGTTGCTAAAAACATGTCTGTATTCTAAAATAACTACTAATGGCTATAAAATAATAATAATTATTATAACTATTAAAATGTTTTCAAATGTTTCTAACTGAAATCAAAACTAATAAACACCATGTAAACAATGAAATCATAATATACAAAAAAATAGCATGAAAAAATCAAATAAGCAATCAAACTAAATAATAATAATAAATAGGTTTAATCCCTCTATATTAATCATAGGTCGCCACAGTGGAATGTTTTACACAGCAGATGCCCTACCTGCTGCAATCCATCTCTGGGAAACTGGAGAAAAAAGCGAACGCGGGTAGAACATGCAAACTCCATGCAAACCAGCGACCTTCTTGATGTGATGTGTATATATATTTATACAACAGTTCTGTCTGGTTCTCAAATCTGATTGGCTGATAGCCGTGCAATATTCTGCAATATCAGAACTCCTACAGCCTCTTTACCCTTTGTGTATTACTCCGCCCACATACAGCCAGCAACAAGCAGACACTACAGATCTAAAGTTTAAAAGATGCACGCTCAACTGTTTAACTGTCAGCTTATGATTTGAATCCAATGTGGAAGAAAGTAGTTCCTCATACAAAAGGGTTTTTGAAACTCTCCATGTTTGATTTTGTTTTTATAAACACAATTATGCCGTCAAACTGTTGTAAGGCACGAGGCCGCACACGCCTCCCACCAGTGCCGATATACAGCCATATCGCACTGCTACTCGTGTGACATTGCTCATATATATATATATATATATATATATATATATATATATGCACACACAGAAAGTGAAAAGATGTTCCTCAAAATGTTCTGGGTTTTGACACACACTTTCTCATGCTACCATATCACTGTATACTTCAGAAACTTCACTGGGTTACTGTTAAGTCACGTATTGATTTTACGACCTTTATTTTAACATAAAAAGCAGTGCATGAGCTATCACCTGACTACAAGGTCCGGATTGGCTAATCGGGTGGACCGGGAGGATTCCGGGTGGGCCGATCCGTTTTTTGGCTGTGATGGCCTATGTCCCTAGCTGCTAGCACTCTCAGCAGTCACATTTATTTATTTATTCATTTAATTATTTATTTCACCATAGCCTCACTCTTTTTATGCATTATTTTGCCGCAGCTTTTGTTTTCTCTGAGCCCCATGAGCAAAATGCAGCCTGCAGGTTAATGATGACGTAACTATCATTCGACCCCAAACAGCGGCACCTTAGTGAATATAAGAATTCGAATAATTAAAATAATGAATATTACACCTGCTCAATGAAAATTTGATTATTCACTACATTAATAAATCTGACATGACTTGATCTGAAATCTAAAAAAGGGAGAAAAAGTTTAAGCCATCAATAGAAAGTAATACTGTGGTTAAAAGAGTCTTGCAGATGACAGTGCAATACTTATTTTTTATTCCAAACAAACTGGCATAACAGAACTATTGTGGTTCAGTGGTCAGCACGTTACGTTGCGCTGCCGCCAACCCGAATTTGAACCTCATTCGAGTACAATTAGTTTTTTTTTTTTTCATTTTTAGTGTTAAGACATATAATGCTGTTTGGTTTACTTATGTAGGTGTACGTATTTAGTTTTTTGTGTAACCACCGTTACAAAGGACTCCGTATCTATAAAAAATTTTGCACATAATATATATTTAGATATTGCAGGAAAGGACATTGTGCTGTTTTAAAGAATAGTGCTGGAGATTTAGCTACCTTTTAATGTTCTCATATTTATGAAAAACATTTGAAGTTTTAAAGCAGATGTTTTCTTGAAAGAGACGTGATAGTGTCATTAGAAACTGAATTGGAAATGACATTATTTTAATATAGTCAGTCGTGAACTGAGGTAGGCTGCTCTAAGGCTTGAAACTCCTGGGCTGAAAAGGAGTCCCACTCTGGCCCTGCTGATACATTTGTGACCTGGTAACTCTCGCCACTTCCACCAGGCAGTCTTCGTTTTCCATCTGGACGTACACTGAGCCATGTTGTAACTAAAGACCATGGGTGGTCAAGCTTTTTCGTACAATATGCCTAAGCTATGGAATGGTCTACCCATCAGCATCAGTAATGCTTTAAGAAACCTCTCAAGACTCACCTTTACCATTGTTTTTAACTTAAGTTGATTATTTTTGTCAATTTGATCATTCAATTTTATTGTTCATATTTTATTGTCTTATTGTCGTGTTTTTTTTTTAAAACTGTCTTTATTGTTCTCCTTTCTTACTGCTTGCCTTGTATGCCTTGCATGCTCCGTGTCTGAGAAAAGCGCACTATAAATAAAATGTCTTATTATTATTATTCTAAAAAAGGTGTACTCAAGTCAGTGTAAACTTCATTAAATAAGGCTGAAAAACAATCTGAGCGTTGTGTCATTGGCCATGATTAGATTTATGAAAGAGTTGTGCTCATACCTGTGCTGCTCTGTATGGTTCTGACAGTAGTTGTAGTCCGCGGAGGTAAAATGGCCTGACGTGTCGCTCTCTCCTCCTCCTCCTCCTGCGAGCAGCCTTTCTCGATGGCCCGCACATAACTGTGGCTCCTCATGCGGAAACATCCGGAGCCTGGCAGATCCAGAGCATCTACAGCCTGAGACTCCATCTCACTGAAAACACTCTCACACACGGCCTCGATCTGCCCGTTCACCTCCACCTCACTCACCTGCAGAGGGAGACAACGCAACACTGTCAAAAGAACAGCTCTATACCATTCTGACGTGGGATTTACAGTCAAACCAACAACATTCAAGAGATATTTTGTGGATATTGTTGTGACAGTGGGTTTTTGACACTATTGTTTTTATGTGAGGATCGTAAAATAGATTTAAAAATAAATTTGTATTATACTAAAACAGTGGACTATAAAACCAAAGAAACTTAAGAACCTGCTGCAGCGAGACTGGGGAAATATTTGAAAATAAGTTCAGGTTTAGAAAATAATTTCAAGTTGTCATTGAGCCTAAGGATGTATTGTTAGTCATGCAAATAGTCATATTAAAATGTGTCTGGAATATTATTGGTTGACAGTAAACCCTCTCCGTTATTCCTCATGCTCTTAAATTGTATAGATTACGCATAATTCATAGAGTTTGATGTTTTTTTAATTATTGTATTATGTTATATAGTAGTATTTTTATTAGTTAAATATTGATTTAAGTGTGTGTTTGACCCATTTCAAAGAATTGTGCTGCAGTGCCCTGTCCTGTCAAATTTTAAATAAAAAAACTAAACTACACGTGTATTTCAAAAAGTCTTCAAGAATGAAAATGAATATGTTTTCACACAGTTTGACTGAATCTATTCATATTTTATTAGTATTTTATAAATTAAACTGAATAAGCTGTGTCCGCACTGTAAAAAATTGTCACTTAGTCCTGACAGCGTATGTTTTTAGGTCATTGTAACTTATTAAACTAAGTTAATCATGTTCTAACTTAATTTTCTAAGTTACTCAAGCTGTTTTAAGTCAGTTTAACAATATAAGTTTAATGGATGGTTAATTTAATTCAGTCTCTAATGCTCATTCTGCATCATTCTCAACAAAGCTTTAACACACTAATACAGATAACAGAGCAGAAAATAAAAGAGTGCAGAGGGGAGGAAATCTGTACAAGTGAAAGGCTGCATTACTAGTGCTCTTTCTTTACTACAAGTGTAGGGCATGACAGAAAGAAAAGGTGAGATTGGATTATACAGAAATGAAGCAGTGAAAGGAGTCTTGTGATTTGAGGATGGAAAGGAAGTGGAAACATGGGACAAAAGTGAGATGTGATTGGATAAAAAATAAAAACAGCAAAGGGGGCCGCAGTCAGGTGGCATTTACACTAGTAGTGTGTTTTTGTTTTGATACAGCATTTTAATATAAAAACACACTTGTACAGACTGGTGTTTTTACTGCATTCAAGAATAATACAGTCATGGTCCACACTATACACTTGAAAAAGCTACATGACGATACATGACCATTCCCACTCACACACACTCATATTTTTCCCAGCCTGATCCAAACAAGATATTGCAACTATTTTATGTTTTGTCAGTTTAGTGGCTAATTCATTCAGAAGACTTCTGTCGTATGAAAATTTAGCAAATCGTACTAAATTGTACAAATGAGATTGTAGGAATTCATACAAATTAGCCACTAAGTTACGAATTGCCGTGAGATAGCGTTGAATTTTCCAGCATCCACATTTGCCATCTACCACCTTTTTAACAGTCATGTGAGAAAGGCTTGGAGAATCAGGGAACGATATGCAATAGTCCAGAAGACCAATCAATAAAACGGCTGTTGTAAACAGCTAAACCAATATTCACTAAACTTTGTTGCAATAAAACCTCTTAAACTCCAGCAAGGTACAGTGGTCTTAAAATAACCCACAATAGACGAAATCCGCGAAGTCAGCCTAATTTTTTTTTTTTTACAATTTTTATAGATGTTTTAAGACAATAAAACGCCTCACTACACACTACCTTTCTCTGACAGGCATTAACATTTGTACCATTTTCTTTTTTTTTTTTGTTTAACCACTGTCAAACCTTCATACAAAAATAAGTTCAGTATCATAGAATGTAAGCTCTTTCTTTATGTAACGAACCGAAGATTAATTCATTCCATAATGGTGCCCTGCAGCCGCGTAACTTCTACCTTCTTTTAGCTTGTCCAGAATACTCCAAATACTCCAAACTTCTACCTTCCTCTGCCTTTTGGGTGCCACCGTCTGTGCAGGTTTTGTCAACATTGTGGGGTTTGTTGGGGAGAAAAATTGCATACAGTACATACAGTCCAGCACTTCAGAGTCACACTGCGAGCGATCAAAGATTTATGTAAATTTGGCAAGCTGAGCGCATTCTGTATACAGGAGACACGGCACAGAGATTGATTGACAATGGAAGTGCACAATCAGGATGCAAAATGCACAATCGAGATTTAATTTTATAAATTAAAAGTTCAGATTGACAAACACTGTAAATGCAAAAATGTAGCAAAAATACCTATATTTTGCACAAAAAAATAATAATAATCCACCATTCTGCACATGACTACTGCATTTTAAAATAAAGGGTTGCATTTCTGGTTTGGGGAACTGAAGCATTTAATTTAAAACAATAAATCTGTGCTACACTCTCAGACAAAATGGTACAATGTTGTACCAAAGAAGGTAAAAACCCTTGTCACTAGGGCAGTACCTTTTCATGGAACAGAATTGCACCCTAAGACAAAGAAAGTAATTAGTACCGTCATACCTTTAAGGACATGATTTGTACGATGGGGAGCCAAAATGTACCTTTGGTTTTAAAACCTGCAGATACAATATTGTACCTTCATCAAAGGTACAAATCTGATCCACAAGGGTAACACTACAGTGACAAGACACTTTGTACCTCAACAGTGTCAAATGTGTCCCTTTAAGAACCATTTAAAGGCCTTTTGATTTATACAAAATGTGTCAATTTATTTTCAGTAAATATAAAACAATCAAACAGTTTAGTTTCAGTTTACAAAAAAAAAATATTTTTGTGTAAATGCACAGTTTTCAATTTACTCAATTAATTAGAAACAGAATTATGCAAAATAGTGTACAAGATATTTTTAATTTAATTGTAATATTACTAAAATGTCTGCAAGAACGCTTTGCATATGCAGGACTTTTGCCAGCTCACATGTAAAGCGAACACCAAAAGTTGGGGATATCTACAATGAAAATGTATTTATTAGAAAGTGCTTACCAAATGTTTATTAAAAAAAAAAATCGCTTAAATGTTTAGGTATATACCTATAGTTTTATGTTTTACCAGTTGTTTTGTATTATAGAAATTAATAATCAATGTTTATGGGTTTCTTTAAACATATGCTTTTAAAATTGCTTTCCCAGAAATAATTATTTTCATAGATATTGTAATAAAGAAGAAGTTGTCCAACACTTATGTACCTTTTTTATAAGAACAATTGTGTGCCTTCATTTCTCATAGGAGGTTTTTTCTGTACCATATAATGTACAACATTTACAAAGGTACAAAACTGTTTCTTAAGAAACATTATTTATCTGTCATGAAATTAATGCAACATTATAATCACAAAGCTCATTTGAATACATTTCTTTTAATTCTTATTTGAGGATTTTTTACTCTGGGGGGTTTTCTTTTTTCATTCCCTGCAATACAGTAGTACTCAACACATCAATAATATTGATGTGGGAAGACTATTGGGGTTATTGGTTGTACTGTAGGCTGAAAGTAATCTTTTCATTTTAATAAGTTGCTTTTTAATATTTAATGAACGACCTGTAAGGATAATAAGGCCACTTCGTTGTGCTTTAAAAAAACAAGTAACATAAGTTACTCAAATAATTCATGAAAAAAAAAAGAAATGGAACAGATAAGGTGTATGTTTAGCAAAATCACAACAGAAGGATTTTTTTCTGTATTTACTATCACATGGCATTTGTAGAAAATAGCTCCCTTGGCCTCAACAAGCGGCCCTATTGCACTGCTGTACTGTAGAAATCTGTTCATCCAGAAATTCTGATTCAATAGTTTCTCTGTGAAATCTTGCACACAGTAATTCCCCTGAAAAGTGTATTTGTGGCTGCTCCCAAGTACAAAGGGACTGCCCTTATATCTATGGTTGTCTTACACACCTACGTATCTTAATTCAATATGAGTAAACCTTATATATTGATTGCTATGATTTTTTTTTGCGAGAGGACAAGTTTAAGGTAACACTTTATTTTGATGGTCTATTTAATTATTAGCAGACTGTCTGCTTAATATCTGTTGATACTGCTCCTTCAACAGACAACTGACCATAAGAAACTTTGCATATGCATGTCTACTTACACCAACCCTAACCTAACAGTCTATTTATAATCTAATGAGAATTAGTTGGCATGTAGATGCAATGTAACTTAAATTTAACCAACGGACCATCAAAATAAAGTGTGACCAAGTTTAATCACATAACATTTAAACACAATAAATACTAATTGTTTTTAAGTGAATTTAAATAACATGGCAAAGGTTTCCACAATTTTGTAATAGAAATGCAAGAGCCACACCTACACCCAACATCTTTGTATAGGGTCCATTTAAACAACAGCATTTTTAGCCACAAAATAAAAAATATATTTTGAATGTGTTCTGCCTGCTCATTTACACAAAGGTACATGGCAAACACCACCATTATTCTTCCCATTTAAACACCCATTATGGGAATCTTGAAAAAGAGTGACATCTTGCACTGAAAAAAAGCACTAGAATTTACTTTAAAAAAATCCTTGTAACAATTTGCACAAACAAATTTCAAGTACATTTTACTCTTATATCAGGTATAATTAGCTTTTCAATGTCATGTCAAATTTACTTCATGTTTAACTTGACACTCCTGATTTAATTAAGTAATGCTAAAATTATTATCTTTCATTTTGTTTCATACTTATTTAAACGAATCAAGAAATGCCAAGTTCTTGTTTTAGCCAAAGGAACATTGCTTTTATCAATTAAAAATCTCAGTTACAAATTAGTTCATTTGGTATAATTAGTTTAATTAAGACACACATTTCCACTGACTTGAAATGTGCTAATTCACGTTATTTTAAGCAAACTCGACTTCTAGCTCAAACTTAGCTTCTAGGAGCTAGCGTAGCACATCGATGGCAAACTTGC